CTCCCCAGATGATTTTTTTTGCGCCGGCGTAAAAAAAGGCTCAGTCGCGCCCCAGGAATCCGATTTTCGCCGGCTTGGGCCGAAAACAGCGCCGGCGGACCCAGGCCGAATCCGGCGCGTTGGGGGCGCCCGGGGGTGCCGGGGCGAGCTGTTTTGGCGCGAAAAAGCCGCGGGCCAACCGCGTCAGCGACACGGCGCCTCGTCTTCCCCCAACGGCCTCGTTTCCCGCGGGGAATCAATGGCAAGGCTGCCGCCGGTCAGCCTTGCCATTGATTCCTCACGGGCGGCGCGTCACGGGACGGCGCGCCGACGCCTCCCCTCCCTCGCACGCGTACACGCGGGCGCAGCGCGGCTGTATAGCCGGTGGCCTCACTCGCCTGTGCCCACACCAGCCCCGCCCCTCGCCGCCGCCCAGCCCCTCCCTCTCCCTCTCTACCTCTCCCGAGCCCGTCGCCATGGCAGAGCGTTTCCCCGGAGACGAGGCGGCGGCCAACGGCTTCTGCCGCCATTCGCTCCGCGAACAGGAGTCCTGGCTCCTATTCCAGGCGAACATCCCGGCGCCGCCGGACATGTGCGCCGGGCCGACGGGGTGGAGACTCAGCGACGGGGGAGTGCCCATTCCCTCGTTGCCCGACGCCGTGGCCACAAATACTTCGCCGAGGAGGTCGAGGTCGTGCGCGCCTCCCTCACCGACGCCCAACTCTCCCTCCCCCGGTACGCCACCAACAACCACGCGGCTTGGGCGGCGTACTTCGAGCGCCGCCAGCAGCAGCGGTTGGCGTCCACCAACGGCGCGCCGGTGGTCGGCGGCCTGAAGAACAGCGAGGGGTGCCACCTGTGGTGGGGCGTCCCCGGGCGCACACTCGAGGGCGTGCTGACGTACCTCGAGGGCGGCAAAGACCCGCCGTTGGCGTACCCGGCGAGGGTGGCCGCCCCGGCGCACCACCGACGCATCGGGCCATGGGCGCGAAGGAGGTTCGTGTCCTCCTCCTCTTCTTCCTCCTCGCGATCTTCCTCGCACTCCTCCGGTACTCCGGCCCTGCTCGGCGTCAAGGCCGAGCCCACGGCGGAGACGCCGCTCGGCCGGCGCACTCGCAACGCCGGCATCGTCATCAACGAGGGCGGCCGGCGTGCCTCCTCGTCGGCTCCTCCTTCGCGCTTCGTCAAGCCAAAGACGGAGCCGGGGCTCGCGCCGGTGAAGAAGGAGCCGGCCGCGCCGGTGAAGACGGAGCTCGACGACGACGACGCGGCCCTGGAATGGGCGCGCAGGGACTCCATAGCGATGGAGAAGGAGCGCCTGGAGAAGGCGAAGGAGCGCCAGTGCGCCGCCCTGCGCCGCTTCGCGGAGCGCCGACGCGGCCGCGACGAAGGCGGAGTCGTCGTCATCTACGACAGCGACGACGACGACGACGCGCCGCCACCAGTCGGCCATGGCGACACCGTGGAGGGGTCCAGCAGGGTCGCCCGTCAAGGAGGAGAAGGCCGCCGACGACGACGGCGTTGAGGATGGCGGCGACGGCGGCGACTTTAGCCAGTTTTTTTAGATTAGTTTATATATGTGCTATGTAATGAAAATCCGCGAACTTTATCGAAATATATGCCCAAGTTGGCCGAAATTTATCGTGTTTAGCCGAACTTCGCCAAACGGTGCCGAAATTTGCTATACAAATTTTATTTTTAAACGCGCCTGGGGCCGGCCCTGGGGCCGGCGGCTGGGGACCAACTCGCCCAGGTCCAATTTTTGTGCCGGCTCACCCCCAGATGGCGATTTTAGGCGCCCCCTGGGGAGCCAACGGCTGGAGATGCTCTAACCGGTGCAGGTTGGAAAAGTTATCAATCATAGGGGAGTTATCAATCATAGGGGATTTGCCCTTTATAATTTCCTCAACACTTTTTTTCAACACTTTGCCTATCAGAATGATGAACTGGGGCAAGGTATGTAGCTACAGAGAAAAGATTTAGATACTTCAGTAGGAGGCACTTCCTTTCCATGGGTCAATTCATTCCTCAGGATTAACATTTTTTTCAAATACATGATTAACAAAAAAATCAAATATATGTTTTGATGTCTATTTATTTTTTGCATGCACATCATATATTTTTTGTATGCATTGAAACATTATTATACAAGTTTAATATTTATCAAATACATGATTATAATTTTGTTCAAATACATGTTGAAAAAAATAGATACATCTTAAACATATTTCAAATAAGCTCTGAAACATTTTTGATTGATAAGATTCGTTCTTTTAAAATACGTGAACATTTTTCTACATTTGCATAATTTTTTTTCTAAAAGTTTCAGGAACATTTTCTAAACACATGAAAATTTCTTTAAATGTCCCATAGAATTTTTTTTGTAAATGTATGAAACATTGTTTTCGAATTACACGATTAATTTTATGTACATTGTATAAACGCTTTCTTTAAATGTTCCGTACATTTTTTTTAAATGCGTGAATGTATTTCAAATGTCACAAACATTTTTTTCAATGCCATCAATATTTTTCAAAACTCATGCTAACAAATTTTATACATTGCCATTAAGATATTGCAAATTCAATGTTCTTAAATTTTTGAAGTAAATGTAAGTGTTGTAACATATGTAGTTTGAATTATTCGCAAAAAAAAGAAACAAAAGAAAATCTGAGTTGGAGGTTTTGTCTCATATCCCCATATCTCAACTCTAATGATGAGCTAGGGAGTGCAGCCCTTCAAATCTTATCTATCTGTCGGATTACGGGTTCCGGCAAACCCTTGAGGTTCGAACACTGGGGTGCACACAAAGATCTCTCTCTCACTAGCTCGCTCTCGCAACGATCTCAAGGCCTAGCTCGACGAACCCAAAGAACAAGAGACATGAGGGTTTATACTGGTTCGGGCCACCGTTGTGGTGTAATACCTTACTCCAGTGTGGTGTGGTGGATTGCCTTGTAGGCTGAGGATGAACAGGTACAAGGAATGAACAACCTCCTGAGGAGAGGTGTTCTTGAACTCGGTGAGCTGGTGTGTGTGAGGATGGTCTGAATGATCCGTCCCCTCTATGGTAGTGGCTAGTCCTATTTATAGAGGCCCTGATCCTCTTCCCAAATGTTAGGCGGGAAGGGATCCCACAACGGACAAGTTTGAAGGGAGACAACTAGTACAAGCTATCCTGACAAAAGGTGGTCTTCGTCTGCCAAAGGCTCTGGTGGTGACACGGCCGTGGGCTCCGCGGTGACCTCCTTCCTGCCGTCCTGCTGATCTTGGTCTCGTTGCACCGATATAGAAAACTTTGCTTGATGCCTCAGGACTCCGCGCCTGCGCTTGCCCCTTTAGCACCAAACAGGCAACTGGTACTCTGCGCCCGTTGGTGCCCGCCTGGCCTTGATCGTCACGGCTCACGGCACGCGCACCTCGCTCCTCAGGAGCCAGCCTAGCGATGCCGCCCCTGAGGAGGTCTTGTGTCGTCCGCCTCGCGAGGCTTGGCCCCTCGCGAGGGTCTTGAGCGGTTGCTGCTGAAGAGGGGCCGTATCAGGCCGTTGGTGGAGCCGCGTCGTGGGCCGCAGGCAGACAAGTCTGGGGACCCTGTTCCCAGGACGCCGACACTATCTAACTATTCTATATAATTAAAATGACAGTTTGGACTAACTATAAGCACACCAAAAAGTGTGGCTCAAGACAACATAAGCAAGCAATCCACAAAATCCTTTCCTGTGCGATACTGATTTTTCCACCGCAGTTTTGGCACAAATAGCCCGCGGTTTCAGCACCGTGATAAGAGGTGGCAGCGCACGACTGAATGAAAATCTCATACTTCAATGGTATTCCCCTGAGAGTGTACTTATTTTATTTTATTTTGAGTGCTTGTACTTATGTTTGAGAGAAGTTTCATACTGTAGTATAGAGTACTAAACATGGAGACAACATTGGCCCAAGCTTACTAGCTGGGCCTCCCTGGCCTATCCAGAATGGGCCAAAAGGATTATTGCCTACACACTTCAATTGAACTGAGACCTTGGGAGATTCTAAAATAAAAATTACTGAGATCTTGGGTCTCGGTTACCCAAAAAACAATGAGAAATAAACAGTCAAACAAAAAACAATGAGAAAGACTGCATACTACTATGGTTTCCGAGGTTTTTAAGATATAACCAGCTTTGTGTCTATCCATTACTGGAAATTTTGGTGGACCTCGAGAAATTCCAATACCGCATTTAAAAATTAAAATTTTTAAATCTAAACGTGACTACAAAAAAACTGAGTATGAAACATACTCGGCGAAGTCTCAAATAACCGAGTGCTGCGCTTGGCTTATGGCTCTCGGTTTAATTTGGAGTGTCATTTCACGGGTACTCGGCTTACCTATGAGCCAAGGTAAAACCAACGGCTCTCGATGAGATAAAGCCACATGATGCATCTAGCTAATGCCAAAGAGAACATGTGTGCATATATCATCACGATACATATTTTGACGCTATATTGGTTTGCATGCGAAATTTGTTTAAAAGTTTCCGGCAAAAGTACCCCGAACTTGAGATTTTCCGGAAACCATTTTTCTCAGCCCCTTGCGAAGAAAAAGCGGAATCGAAAGAAAAACCTTGGCGTTTGTATGATCATGCAAAGTGTGCGCGTATATATGTACCTACAAGATATCGCAAATCGAAAGAAACTTAACACATGATGACAAGTAGAAAGACGGCAAGAGACTATGCTATGGATGAAATTTGAAAACGAAACAACATGAAATTGAGCGCCAACTGCATGCTAGTACTATTATTACAAGAACACGCGGAGGAAATATCCCCGTCGCGCGGAGATATATATGATTTTCATGCAACTCATGCATGCATACACATTACACAAGCACAGTGCAATTAAAGGACGGTAATACAGCACATGCCAGTTGCTGGCTAGTTTATGGAAGTTTAGTTATTATTCTTCACCGGGATTAACTATTGTTGGTCGGTGAGCATGCAGCGGGCGTGCCGGAGTAGCTAGGCCGGCGCGCCATTTCATCAACGCCGGCGGTGTCCGGACGGCTCCTTCTGGGAGTTGAAGTAGACGACGGCGACGGGGAGGCCGAGCTCGTGGTTGGCGGCGAAGGCGCGGGTGTTGAAGTAGGCGCGGTCGTCCGGCGACGCCGCCGGGACGTAGGGGAAGCGCGTCTTCTGCTCGAACAGCACCAGCACGTAGCGGTGGATGCCCACCGGCGGCCGCGGCCCCATGTACGGCACCACCACCTCACCTGCATGCACCACAAATATATACACCCGGACGTAATATATCCACCGTGCATGAATGCATGGGCGGCAAAAAAGACAGAATTTGCTACTTCCTCCATTTTAAATATGAGTTTTTTTAGATATTTCAATGCGGACTCCATACGAAACAGGCGAGGAAGTACACCTACATGTAAGCTACTAGCTGTATGTGTCCTGCATGCGCGGATGTACACGTGTCGCAGCCGGACACGTGGGATGCTTCCAGGACGAACGCTTGGTCGCAGCTTGGCCGTCCGGCGGCGCGGCGCCGTTGCGGCGGCCATGCTTGCGTGCATGCTCGAAAGTTTGTGCCATGCGATCGCACGCATATGCATGCACCGCGCGCGTGGTGCACATAAGATATAAACCTTGGAGCACTGTCGTTATCTTGGATATTTTATGCACCGTATCTTCTTTTCTGTGGTCATCGCAGGAAGCGGCCACCAAACAAGTTTGTTTTGTTACTTGGGCTTGGGTACATATGTAGGTGTGGCCGGTCGTCTAAGGCTGCGTTGCCATCGCGGCGTGTTACGGTACTCCACTTTGTTTATTCTTTTTTCTTCTATTTTATTGTTTGTTTAACTCGTTTTTGCCTATGTTTATCGTTGCTTTCCTACAACTTACTATTAAATTAGCATACAAACACAATTCAGCAACCACAAACGGGGTCTAGATAGAGGCATAATAAGTAAATGCCGGATATAGCGGAAGGCCTTAAAAGTATGAAATCATGTAACATGTTGTTCATTTTATATCAGCTACATATTGTGGATTCTCGCAAAAAAAAGTACTAGTCAGTTTTGTAAAATATTGGAATTAGGCATTTGAGTGAATTTTCTTTTTCGCAAGAGCTATTTTAGTAAATATATGGCAAGGTTCACAAAATACTCTATTAGCACCAATGGATTGTATTGTTAGAAGGATGTGAGACCAGTTGACACACAACGTCATGCTTTGTGGTTGATGAACTAATTTCATAATCTCGTTGGTGAAAAACTACCGGTGAAAAAAGGAAGAAAGAAAGATTAACCGAAGAGTAGAAAGGCAAATAACTTGTTGGGCAAATCAAATTCTAACCGTCCATCGCAATAAAAGGCATGCGTGAGCAATCATAGTATGAATGTACGCATGTCGGGACCACTAGGTATCGACATACAATGATAAATGGAAAACGACATGTGTTGTGTATGGTTGTGACATGTATAAGGGCACATGGGGTGACATGAGCTATCTCTTACATGTGACGGTTGGGTCTTAGGTGAGATAGAGGACTTTACGTACGATCCAAAACCGGCTCGGGCAAGAGATGAACTTGGCACAATGACCAACGTATTGGCAATATATGGTAGGTTTGGAGCACGTGTTTGTGTGTGTGTGCGTGGGGGTGGAGTGGAGGTGGGGTTTAGTTATATGCAAGTATTTTCATCGAATGTGTTCTATTTTTGTTGTGTTTGTCTATTAGAGCGTCATCATTTATAAGGCCTAAGCGGACACTAAAGGTGAAGATTGCTAGTAAGACCATTACTAGAAACGTCAGTGTGGGAAAACATTACAATAATCACAACTTATGTATATCAATGCCTAATTTAAATGAAAAGATTCTAATATGAGTAGCACTTATTGTTCATGGTGTCGAGAGATATGGTAAAAGAAGCTTAAAGAAATGAAAGAATAGAGAAATATTTAGCTCCTAATTTAAAAGCCTTAACTAAGATGATGCTAGATGCAAAGTGTCGAGACAACTATAATTCTACTCGTCGAGATGCCGGAGAGGCGCAGTGTGTGTTCCCATGGCTCAAATGGTTACTCCTAAAACAACAATACTGAGAACTAAGTGTGGACCCAGACATAAA